ATTTACGAAGCCAAGTGTCATTAAGTGCCTAAGCCAAGTGTATCAAGTCTAATGGCAGTGATGAAAGTTGTCTCACGTTTCTCACAGCAACAACAATAAAGTGCTGTGGTGTAAAGTGCATTGTGTTGATCAGAGGTACATCACCCTCACTTGTCCGAGCCTGGCCCATATCCGACCTAAGATAGACTCATCTCCACTAGCTAGTCAAACCCACATGCTCACTCCTTCCCCGCTTACTATGAATCGTAAACAGTCTCTAGCTGTTTGCTGGCGCCCATATTATCGAATCCAATCCTGAAATCCAACCACTAATAATCTCAACTGAAGGAAGAAGCGGTGGAGCCGGGTCAAGCCGAAACTAGCTACGACCTAGCAACTTCAGCAGCGGCAACACCAGGTGGGGCAGCGTCAGAGTGGTCCTCGGAGCAGAGGGGCCGATCGCCATCGACTCCCACCCCCTGCACTGCTATTGAGACGGAGCCGCAGGCGGAAGGAAGGACGGACGGTTACAGAACTAACTGGTGGGTTGGCGTAATATATGCGAAAAGAATATTTCTTGCACTACTGACAATCGAGCCCCAACTCCTCAGTAGCCCAGCCAGTGACCTAGTCACTATACTAAGCTCGTTAAGCAAAATATACAAAATTATAATTTTGCCTGTAGTTTTCATTGAGGGCGAAACGTTGTCCCTGGCATTAGGGGAAGAAGGTACATGAGAACGAGGTGCTCAGGAGAATACCAGAACCGAAGAGGGTTGAAATGACAGAAAGCTGAAGAAAACTGCATAATGAGGAGCTTCATAACTTGTTCTCTTCGCCAAATATATTTAGAATGATCAAGTCAGGGAGGGTGAGGTAGACAGGGCATAAAGCAAAAGCGGGAGAAGAGAGGAATGCATATAGAATATTGGTGGGAAAACCAGAAGAGAACACTAGGAAGACCTAGACGTAGGTGGGAGGATAAAATGGAACTAGAGAAATAGGATTAATTTAGCTCAGGATAGGGACCATCGAAGGGATCTTGTTAATATTAATAAACCTTTAGGTTCCAAATATTATTGTGCAATTCTTGAGCAGCTGAGCGACTCTCGGCTTCTCAAGTCGAACACAGTTCCGCTGAGTTAGTTAGTTAGTAAGTAACTTACTTAATTGGCTGCGCCATAGCTCAAACGGTTAGTCGCTAGCTTCCCACCGCGGCGACCCGGGTTCGATCCGGGTCTGGTTAAGTGGGATTTGTGTTGGACAAAGTGGCGCTGGGGCAGGTTTTCTCCAAGTACTTCGGTTTCCCCTGCCAATCTTCATTCCACCAATTGCTCCACAATCACCCTCACCTATCATCTGGGGCTGGTACAATAGGACAGAAGTGGCCGCAGTACAGGAGACTTAGTCCCACCACACTAGCAATAAAGAAAAATACTTACTTACTTAGTTAATGACCTTAAGCAGTGAATTCAAACTAAGAAGATAAGTGACGCTTGCTTATGCACTAACACGCCGCGGAATAACAAATCCGACCCAGCACACCGCTGCACAACTCGAAGAGACAATGCACCTACCGTCTCATACACTGCTTAACTTGCCTACAGGTGCCTCGGAAACGAAATAGACTGTTGTTCCGAAAACCATTTTAATTACTGAACACGAGGAAAAAAAAACACTTGAAATCCGTCCAACAGGCAGATCGGTTGCGACAAAATCGACATTTCACGTTTGGGCCCCTATTGCGCGTTACCGTCCTGTCTGCAATTTTACTTAGGGAGTAGGGTTCGACAGATTGTTGCAATTTGATCAAAACTGTTAAAGCCATTTTAAAGACTTTTTTCATTTTTCGGTCCCATCTGAAGAGCCACTCTTTTCTGGAAACGGAACGTTCGTATTCACCGGGAAAAGGCGTATGACGGACAACGGCTTAAACACAAAATATGAATGAAATCTTTCCACCGTTCGGCGCTAGGCGCATGTATATACATATCGAATATACGCGTAAATAACATACAAATGTAGGTACGTACAGAAATTTTTATGCATACATATATACATACACACATACAAATATAGCTACGTATATATACATACATTGACCGCCTCTATGGTCTAGTGGTCAGAGTTCCTGGCTACAGATCCACAGGTCCGGGTTCGATTCCCGGCGCTACCAGATTTTCTGAGAAATAGTCGGTCTGGGACGGGGTCAACTCAGCCTCGTGAGGGTAACTGAGGAGGTATTTCAAGGAAATAGTGGATCCGGTCTAGAAAACCAAAATTAACGGCCGTGGGGATTCGTTGCGCTGACCACGCAACACCCTCTATNATTCAGGAGTGCCGAAAACCTGTAATCATTAGTTGGTTTTATCCAGAGCTTTCCCGTTTACACTACGTACATGAGAATAAAAAACTGCACCGAAAATTATTCAGCGAATAAACGCCCATGCACATTAAACCAGTTGTGTAGCGCACACCAGCGCGTATCCTCGCCTGGTCATTCTCCCACCTCCCGTTCTATATCTCTTCTTCTCCTCGTTGTATCTTTTCTCACATTTCTATCCTTCCTCGCATATTCCACTCTCGCGTCCCACTTCCCCCTTTTACTTCCCTTTACTCTCTCATAACCTTATCTCCCTTCTCCACCCAACCAGAATATATAATTTGCATTTTTCCCCTCCCAGATCCAATGGCGCGCGTGAGATTAGGCTGAAGAGCGGTATGCAGGAAAATAGCTGTGAGCTATTTAAAGAGAAAATACTGTGGGCCCGCCGACTACTCTTTTCCGAGATTTCCTGATGATTTTCAATATAAGTTAGGGGTGTAGTAGCATGGGGCTAGAGAATTACATTACTTAATCTTTCTTCCCAAATCTAAAGGCCACGATGACTAAGGCTTTAACTAAAAGTAATCACATTGAAAGTCCGACGTTGTGGGGCGCTGAAATGCATCGAAGCAATTTTCGTCTTTTTTTTTTTTTTCATTAATGGGTTTATCTTTCAAACACAACCCTGGCTTTGCTTAAAGTGATAAAAAAACCCTAAAACGAGTCTGTAATAAAGTAATGGATATTTTAACGTTACATCAATCTTCTAATTATGTTTAAGAAGTCATCACGGCATGTATAAGTTTTCATCAAATTTGCTACCGACCAAGTAGAGGCCACCAAGGGAAGTGATGCTGCTCCACAGCCGGTATACAGTTATCTGTGGCGACAGGAAGTGACAGGAGATTTGGCGAATTGCATAATTGTTAGTCCTCATCAAATTCTATTTTTTTCCCCTTGGCACTAGAGCCCCAGTGGGCCTACGCCTACCTCCATGAACTTCTCCGTTCACTTCGGTTTTTCTAGATCTTACACATTCGGTAGGACTCCTTGGGCGGGTGATCAGCTCGTCGCAAGACCTCTACCTGTACACATACACAGAAAAACGCACACAAACATCCATGCCCTGAGTGGAATTCGAACCCACGATCTCGGCTTCCGAGCGAGCGAAGACAGTGCATGCCTTAGACCGCTCGACTACCGTGACCGGCCATCAAATTCTATTAGGTTCCTCAAATAAAAGAGGATGAGATGGGTGCGCATGTAATGCGGCTGGGACAGAAGACGAGAAAAGGGAAAAGGAAGAGGCCACTTGGAATGTTGAACCTTAGATAGGAGGATCTTAAAGAAAGAGGGTAGAAGGACGTCAGCTGGATTCAGCTGGCTCGGAAGAGGGACCTGTGGTGGGGCATGGTAAAGAACCTTCGGGTTTCATAAAATGTCAGAAAATTATTATCGGGGAGTGTCCGACTATCAGTCTGTTTGTCTATGGCGCACATTCTGTTCTGAACACACCAAACCAAAGTCGTCCGGTTTCGGGTCTAAGCATTTTGAAATGTGTACTTTACGGTCTTTCGTCATCGCTGCTTTTCATGTTCACTTTCCGCATATACAAATTAAACTGTCTACAGAAAATAATCGGCAAATAATACCTTACATTCATTAAGACATATTTTTCCCACATGTTCTTATACGTACGTGTATGTATACAATCTCAAATAAACGTCAAATAACTTACCGACACGTGTTTTGTATGTCTTGTTGCCTATTTCTATTTCGTACGATGATGCACACAATGCAAAAACGCATAAAGACGAAACATTCCAGCAAAGCGTGTGGTAAGATGTGAACTTCCAAACCGAAGCAACAATGTGTTATAGAGTAGGTTACTCTGGCCTGTGACGTAGTTTAGGTGGTGATGAACATGCGAAATGCTATCATGATGATTGTCAGTGAGAAGGGGAGGGGAGGAAGCAAAAAAATAACACTGTACCATTTCTGGAAATATTAGGAGCCCTTCACAACAGTCATTTACTTGAATTCTTAGACCTAATTTTATATCGCCTGATATTTTCGTGGTAACTCTACCCAAAAATTTTTTAATGTCAGTTCTGAAACTTAGTAAGTCGTATAACTTTGTGTTGTTTCCGACAAAAAATATCACCAAATCCTTAGGACCTGAAGGCTGACCATGATGTATGAGGACATTCGTGGTTTCTCTCAAATATCTTCAGGCAAATGCGACAATAGCACCTATATTTAATGAACGATCGTTTACTTACACTTCACTTCCGTCCGTTACTCACTAACCGTCATAACATTCAGCGGTACGTAACTTGAACTACTGGAGCTGTTGTTGAATAAAACAGAAACTGATGCAAATAACCGACTGGTCAGACACTTTAGGCCGAACAGTGCTTCAAACATCAGTTCTCTTCTCCGTCAAGCAACGCTAATCTCTGTTTATTCTTTGCTCTGCATGGAATAGACCCAGCAATGGGCCGATCCAATGAACAATTCTGCTAAGCGTCTAAGGGTCCACTCCTCCCATTGGGACATGCGCGTGCCTGATGAGTGAAGGCACACGCAAACGTAAGCATAACAACTTCACCTCAGCCGGGAAATCACATCTCTAGTTTCAGTGCCAACTACATACTTCTTAAAGCAGAATTCAACTGCAGTTTAAGTGACTTACCTTTTGCTTTGGGTGTTCTGGACACGGAACCCCCACCTCCTTCCGGGTGCGTTGGTGGCGTGGACTGTCGTCCCCCTCGGGAGAGCTCTTTGCTGTTACTGATACAACTGGAGGAGCCATTGTCGCGGTCTGGAACTTCCTCCTTGATCAGCTTCGGTTCCATCTACAGCTGTGAACACAGAGAACAATCCTGAGCTGGAGTACTTCCGGTAAGGCTGTGACAGTAAACAGAAATGTAAGCGGACTTAAGATGAGGCTGCCTCTTTGAAAGCGGCCTCTGACGGAAACTGATTGACTGAATCCAATCCATACCATCCCATCCTATCCCTCAAAGATCCATCTTCATATTGTTCACCCACCTACGCCTTGGTCTTCCCTGTGGTCACTTTCCTTTTGGCTTTACCACCAATATCCTATATGCATTCCTCGTCTCCCCCATTCGTGCTACATGCCCTGATCACCTCAACCTCCTTGACTTGATCATGCTAATTATACTTGGAGAAGAGTACAAGTTATGAAGCTCCTCATAATATGCAGTTCTATCTAACATCCAGTCACTTCATCCCTCTTCGGTCCAAATATTCTCAGCTTCCTGTTCTCAAACACCCTCATTCTATGTTCGTCCCTTGATGTCAGAGACCACGTTTCACACTCATATAGAACCACAGGCAAAATTGTAGTTTTGTATATTTTAATTTTTATGTTTATGGACAGCTGACGAGAAGACAAAAGGTTCTGGACTGAAAGGTAGCAGGCATTACCCGAGTTCAATTTTCTCTTAATTTCCTCCTCAATCAGGTTTTGATTTGTTATCGTTGTTCCCAAATATCTGAACTGCGCCACATTTTCAAAATATCTGTTAGCTATCTTCATATAATGATTTTGCCCTGCATTTTGGTTACGAGACAGCAACATATACTATGTTTACTTCTAGACTAACCTCCTTATTTGCGTCAATTAAAGTTTGTGTGTTTTTCTTTATGGCATCTACATTATCACCCAGTAGATTCACATCATCGGCATAGACCAACAGCTGATGTGTCCCGTTCAATTTCAGTCCCACCTGGTTTTCCTGGACCTTCCTAATGGCATATTCTAAAGCAAAGTTGAAAAGGAGTGGCGATAAAGCATCTCCTTGTTTTAGACCATTCTGGATAGGAAATTTATCAGACAAATGTTTACCTGTACGTACTTTACTATAAGTTTCGTTTAAACACATTTTAATCAGCCTAACTAATTTCATTTTCTTCTCCAACTGACGAATGAAAAAGATCTGATCAGTAGTTGATCTGTTACGTCGAAACCCACACTAATGATCCCCAATAATTTCATCTATATACGGACTTAACACTGAGGGAAGAATATTGGATAACATTTGAATGAAGTTCATATCAGTGATATCCCCCGATAATTGCTACAGTCAGCTTTATCACCCTTCTTGTGAACTGGTACAATAATAGACTCCCACTGATCAGGAAATTTTTCCTTATGCCAAATAGAATTCATTATCTTGTGGATCTTAGAACGTAATATTTCGTCTCCTACTTGAATAAGTTCTGCCGAAATTGTATCACTACCTGGCGATTTATACCGTTTCAATTTTGCAGTAGCACTTTCAACCCCAAAAGGGCTAGGATCCGGTACTAACGGCTCAGCTGTGTGTATTTCTGTCTGCCTATCATCACTGACCCTGTGTACGTTCAATAACTGAGAGAAGTAGTTCCTCCACCTATACAAAATGTTGTGGGAATCTGCAATCAGATCACCATTCTCATCCTTCACTAAGTTACAGCTAGGTTGGTAAAAAAAGTAAAAGTAAATGTATCCCTGTAACAGGCCGTGGAGGCCCATAGGGTTGTGAGATGTTGAGGTTCCCACATTTTCTAGATAATCGGCTCATAGTTGGCGGCAAGGTTGTGCGGCTAGAAGGCTTAGGTCAATTGAAAAAATCCAATGACCTTATCGGGATGAACCTGCGACCTTCCGGCTTGTAGCATAGTGCCTCAACCAACTACGCTATCGCATGCCTCCAGGTTGGTAACTTAATTCATGATTTCATTCCCCTTTCCATAGGAAAATGTATATTCGCCTGCTGGTACGATGCCACCTCCGTCCCAACTGACCTTCTGTACTCCCGCTAAATCTAAATTATATTTTAAGATTCCTTCCGCCACTGCCCTGAGCGAACTTGCCCTATAAAACTTCGAACATTCCACGTACTGAATCTCATGTCCGTTTTCGTAACAAGGTTATTTTTTTACGGTGAGGAGTTGTTAGCCCAACACCCAACCCACCAGCTGGAGGACTGCCCATTGTCGGCTGTCTGTGACTGCTTATTCAGTATATTCGCAGGTTCCCTCCAAACCTGGAGGGCGTCTCCTCCATCCGCAACCTGAGGACGCGCCATGCCGTGGAGACAAGGGACCCACCTAGAATGCTATTAAAATCAGATCATTCAGTGTGAGATGAAGCAAACCTGCATTTATTTTTCTGTTCGATGCACTGGTTGCATTTATTTTCTGTTATTCTGTTTATTTCTGGCTCGAAATACATCTAAAGGCTTTGTACTAGCTGTGTTGAATTTGTAGATCATACAGTATCATGTAAAACTTTGAAAGTTTATTTCTTGTTCAAGTCAGAATTTTAGGTGGCTGGTTGGTTGGCTGTTATTTATGGTTTGCTTTGGTTTGGTTTGTTGATTTGCAGGTTAGTTGGCAGTTAGTTATTTGTTGTCTGTTATTGTTTGGCTTGTTGGTTGGTTGAATGTCTGGTTGGGTTTGGGTTGGATGGTTGTTGACTGGCTGGCTGGGGGTTAGATGGCTGACTAGTTGGTTTTTTGTTAACTGGCTGGCTGGTTGGTTGGCTGACTGGTTGATTGTTGCTTGTGTGTTGATTGGCTGGATGGAGGATTATTTGTTGATTTTTTGTTTATTTATTGACTGGTTATTTGTTTGGTTGGTTCTTTGATCGATTGGGTGGTTGCTCGCTCGCTCGTTCGGTCTTTCGGTCGGTCGGTCGGTCGGTCGGTCGGTCGGCTGGCTGGCTAGCTGACGATTTACTCAGTAACTCACCTACTAACTTAACTGTTGTAATGAGGAACACTTGTAGCATAGGTGAATAAATGAATACGTTTGATTTTCTTATTTGTCCGTGCCTGTCGAACGTCTAGAAGAGTAGGGAATATTAATTTAACACTGTTTCGGGGCCATCGTCCTCCAGTTTATGCTTCTTACGAAATAATTAATTAACGTTATCAGTCCGAATGATTCCGTTGTAATTAACCGGAATAAAAAATACAAATACACCGTCACGTCAGACACTTCTATAGAATGCAGTTCCTTCAGCTTCAAGGTGTAAGTCCTGAAGATGGAGTCAGCGTCTTTGTAGCCACCGTCGCGAAAACCTCAGTTTTCACATCTTCATATATAAATTTTTACCAAGGTTTCGCATATTAAACGCTGTTTCTGACGTCCCAAGTTTCCCATGATATTTTGGACCAGTAGTGACCACCTCACGCGCATACATCTGTAGCCAGATGAAGTGAACCTAGCTACGGACAAGATCGCATTGAAAAGGATCCTGTCATGAAAAGCTTGCAAAAGAACGGGATAGAAAGATCTCATGTGGTAATGCCCGACCATCGTTGAGTTAATATAAAAGTTAGGGCAGTGCCTAGAAGTTTTGTCGTTGGGGGGTTCCACAATCATTTGTAATGCAGCAGAAAGGAAGGCAGACTGACACTCAAGACCTAGTGCGAGGATCTCCACTCTCTTCCAAATCCCTGCTATAAAAATTCCAATATAAGCTTCCATCCCTTCGGAACCCCAGCTGGAAAGTATAGGCTAGTACAGACATCGATGATATGGGTATTGATATTGGTCGGACAGACAGGGAATAGGAAGGGGAACCAGTGGTCAAGAGGACGGGGCAGAGGTCTGGGGACGCCATATGGGGCCCAGCAAGGAGGAGGCATTGCAAATGATAGGGAGGGGTGGATACATACGACGTATGCTCGTTGGAAACTACTGCCGAGTGACATACGAAGGAGTTCTTGCGCTAATTGAAACCGCCGCACGTGACGTAGAGATCAGCTGCAGAGTATAGGGTGTGTCAGAACACGGCTACTTAACAAAAATTTCAAGACAACTTTCTGTAATCACTGCTGTCTTTATATACTTATTTGTAGTTTCTTTGACGGCTCTGTTATAAAATGAGTCTATATAGCGCCGAACGATTGCATGATGGTGACCAGCGAACTGCAAAGAGTGTGAGGCGAAGCGGTCGTGGCACCTCTAGAATATAATTTAGAAGCATTGCAGCTTCAGTTACTTTGCTCGGTGATCATCATCATCATCATCATAAGTCAGAATTTCGTGTTTTTCCCTTTTGCAGAGGTTTTTATCTATATGCGTGCAATATAGAACTCTTTTCACGTATCTTTCATTCCTTCAATGCGTTTTCGTCCATTGCCGATTTTAATTAGCCGCGGTTCTACATTTGCCAGTCTGGTAGCTTCCGCAGCAACAGAAACACACTGACTGGAGCAGGGCTCTCCTGGAGTAGGAACTATGTATCTAAATGACCATCATTTCTGTACAATTTCCCATAACACTCTCCTTAACACGATGACCATGATCAACATGATCATACCTTACAAGAATCGTTCTTACTAGAAGTTTCTAGACTCCAAGGTTCAAATCAGTACTGACCTTTCCATCTTTTGTATGGTCTACGTCATCTTCTCCTATCTCTCGTGTAAACTGCTAAATCCTTTCTATTCGGTCCGCGCAAAGTGGTTATAAAGAAGGGAATTGGGGCAACCAGTACAGTTGAGGGTTTGAAGTTTAGTTGTACTCTGCAAGGGAGGTTAAGAAGAGATAGTGCTTTGCTTGAGTTGACAGTTGACAAGAGGTCTGCACGAGTGGCTGTGGCAAGAGGTCCTAAGCACATGAAGCTGAAGAATTTCCACTGTTACAAGCCGTTGCCAGGGAACGGCTGGTGAAAACACCGCAGGATGGAAAGGGCTTAGCGGTGCTGTGGTGATTTGTAGTGCTTAGACCAGCGACAGTGTTCTAATTACCTGTAGTTGCAAGTGGTGTGTGATTAATAAATTCGTTCATCAATCCACGCCCCATCTTTTCTTTTTCCCCCTTGGCACTACAGCCCCAG